TCGAGGCTGCCGTGGCCGGGAGCGGCCACTGCACTCCAGTCTGGGTGACGGAGTGAGACTTCAACTCAAAATAAATAAATAAAAAAAAATAAAGCAGGTAGTTCTCTGGCGTTAAGTACATCCACATTGTTGTACAACCATCACCACCTCTCAGTCTCTTTTAATTAAATGTTTATTTCTCTATGGGATTGGGGGAAATGGCAGAAACATCCACTGATATTAGAAATAGTTCATGGGACTTGACCTTTGAATGGGAATCACATCTAAAGCTGTTTTTCTTCAATGACTTTGCCTCAGACGGAGAATGGGCTCCGGGACAATGACATCAAGCCGAGGGTGAGTGAGTGGGAAGTGATCCAGGAGTCGGGGACAAAGCTGAAGCCTATGTATGGTCCTGGCTACACGGGGCTGAAGAACCTGGGCAACAGCTGCTATCTCAGTTCTGTCATGCAGGCCATCTTCAGCATCCCAGAATTTCAGAGAGCGTAAGTGCCTCCGCGCGGATCTGGGCACCCAGCATGGCCCCATGCCCTCTAGGTCTGGTCCATACAGAGTGCGCTGGGAAGTCTATCTTGATCACTCAGGACATTTTGCCACCTCACCTATGGCCTGACCTTATGCTGAGGCTGGGTGAGGTCACTTGTCAGGTGTTACGGGGATCAGGTGAGATGAAGAGAGCTTTGTCAACTGAAAAACATCCTGCAGGGGTCTGTGAGATTAGTAATGGCATCTGCTTTTAGACTGTCACCCTGTATGCCACGAATATACTCATTAATCTTAACAGCAGACCTGTCAGATCCCTCTTATAGATGTGCTAGGAGACATCCAGTGATGTGTCTGGTCAGTCTCTCTCTTCTGGTGGAGTTTCCTTGAGGATTTGGGATTTTCATTTTTTACTATTCAAAGTTCACAGACTGATGCTTAGTCTTTGTTCTGTGGATAGGGATCTGCAACAAGATAGATAAGGCAAATGAGAGGGAGAGGGCATGTTAAGAAATTTTTGTAACATTGCTGTGTCTTAAAAGTGGCCCTGCCCTCCTTCCTTCCTTCCTTCCTTCCAGTTGGAGTCTTACTTTGTCAACTGGAGTGCAGTAGTACACTATGGCTCACCGCAGCCTCGACCTCTTGGGCTCAGGCAATCCTTCTGCCTCAGCCTCCCGAGTAGATGGAACTCCTACAGGCACTGACCACCATGCCTAATTTTTAAAAATTATTTTTGTATAGGTGAGGTCTCACTATGTTGCCCAAGCTGGTCTTGAACTCCTGGGCTCAAGCAAACTTCCTGCCTTAGCATCCGAAAGTGCTGGGATTATAGGCATGAGCCACCACGCCCAACCTTTAATAATTTCTTTTAATTGTGTTTTTTAATCATTAATTTTTTTTTTTTTTTTTGAGATGGAGTCTCACTCTGTTGCCCAGGCTGGAGTGCAGTGGCATGCTCAGGGTCATCGCAGCTTCGGCCTGCTGGGCTTAGGCGATCCTTCCGCCTCAGCCTTCAAAGTAGCTGGAACTACAGATGCATGCCACCATGCCTGGCTAATTTTTGTGATTTATTGTAGTAAGGAGGTCTCACCAAGTTGCCCCGACTGGTCTCGAATCCCTAAACTCAGGCAATCCTCTCACCTCAGACTTGTAAAGTGCTGGGATTACAGACTGAGCCACCACACTTGGCCTATTTTTAATTATCATGTGTACATAATAGGTGTATATATTTGTGGAACACATGATATTTTGATACAGGTACAATGTGTAATAATCACATCAGGATAATTGGGGTACTCATCGCTTCAAGCATTTATCACTTCTTTGTGTTAAGAACATTCCAATTCCTTTCTTTTAGTTATCTTACAATATACAATACATTATTGTTAACTTTAGTCACCATGCTGTGCTATCAAATCCTAGATCTTATTCATCCTATCTAACTATATTTTTATACCTGTCAACCGTCTCCATTAGTTGTAGTTTTAAAAGGCATTATTGGTATGAATTGACAAAACAAAACAAAAAAGCTGGCCCACAAATAAATTGGGAGGCACTGACTTAGGGTGCTTTCTGACTCTGCATGTATGAGGCTACCTCCTTCTGTCACACCTGGGGGCACAGCTGCCAAGTCTGTGACTTTTTTCCTGGGTATAGGGAGCTACAGAGCCAGACTGGTGCACTTATGAGCAGCTACTGCGTAAGGTTAGAGAATCATCTCTAGTCTGTTCCAGAGTGGGTAGGTTTCCACCTTGGTTCAAGTGTGTAAGAGGGCACTGATGTGCTGAGACAGACTGATGGGCAGACAACACTAGGAATAACCCAGAGCAATGTGTTATCCACATGGAGTTGAAATCCTAATGACTTTAATAGTGGCTAATCAAAAGTATGCTGAATAGCTGGGTGTGGTGGCTCACACTTGTAATACCAACATTTTGGGAGGTGGAGGTGAGAGGTTTGCCTTGGGCACATGTGGGATTTTGATACAGGTGTACAATGTGTAATAATCTCTTTCCTCTCCTTTCTTCATATTTGAAGACTTACTTCTTTTTACTGTTTTTTGGCTTTGAAGTTTTATGGTTATTTTTTATGTCTATTTTTCATCCAGCCAATAAGAGTAAGTTCTGTTCTGCTCAGCAGTGTGCTGAGTGTGGGGGTCAAAGAGGAACAGAAGGATGTGGTACCTACCCACAGGGAGTGCACAGACACAGGCATTAGAAAATAATCATTAGAACAACTGCATGCTTACAAATGTAGTATGTTCCATGAGGGAAAAGGTGATCAGTGAGGACCCCTTGAGGAGATGTGCAGGAGGAATGGAGACAGAGCGAAGATCAAGTTTGAAGCTCTGAGGTGGGACCCTTTTCAAAGTTGTGTATTGTACATCCTGTTATTTTTATAAACCGTTACCCATGTCTCCTATTTATATTATCGTTTGACTGAGAAACAGTGTAGCTTCATCTTATGTGACTCACGCTCCAAGTTCTTTTTTGAAAATGTTGAAGGAATGTCCTTCTGGTAGACATTGTATAATTATTATTTCTTTTAAACTAGAATGGAGGAAACTTGTATTCTTTGTTAAAAAGCCCCAAAACACTTTTAATGCTTCATATTGCACAGCCAGAAAGGAGAACAAAATTATGAACTTCACAGCAACTTGGACAGACTTAGAGTCTATAATACTGAGTGATCTATCACAGAAACAAAGAACTGAGTATCACATGTTCTCACTCATAAGTGGACCTTGAACAATTATAGTATAAGAAAAGGATTGCCAGTAGTGGGAAATTTCCAGGGTAGGGGTGGGGAGGACGGGATTGGCAGTAGTGGCATACAGTGGTGGGGAGGGGCACACCTCAACAAGGGTGCCTGCATAATGAACATTTGTATACATAACCCTGAATTGTACCCCACATCTTTAAGATAAAACAAACAGACAAACACACACTATCTAAAATTTAAAAAGTTCTTCCTTAACTCCAAAATTTGATGAGGAACTAATTTTCTGAAAATTTTCTTCAATTAAAAAAAGTGTACCTCATGTCTGGGTTTTGAATTTAAAATTTGAGACTTTTGCTAGTCTCGTTTCAAGAATTTTAGAGTTTTATATGATATTATATAATATTTTATATTCTAGTTTCTAAACACTGTATATATTGGAACATGAACAGCTTACTGTTCATACTTGTCTTCAGTCTTTTTGTTCTTTGGCCAATGCCACTGGATTGAAATACTTGTACTTCGTACTTCTTTTTCTCTAGCAGACCTAACTTTGTGGCGTTAGGTCCAGGAGCAGTGTCTCACTTTGGAAAGTAGAAAAAGTGACTAACAGAAGGATTAAATGACTTATGAATAGCCACAGTATAATTCGGGAATGTCAGCCTGATTCCTGGAGTACCCTCTCTGCCATTTGAAGCTAGTTTCCATTTCAAAATATTTCTTACTGAGGATCACATCTAAATAAACTGGTGTGCAAATTGAATGGATTGACAGATAGCAAAACTACATCTTTTTGAGAACTGCTAGATGCAAACTGAAAGTATAATATGTTCTTTGAAAATTACCCAGCATTACTTCTGCATTTTAATCTAATTTTGTTATAATGGAGGATAGTCTTTATTGATTAGAAAAGGAACATAAATTGTTAGCAAAATGGACTTGCGTGTTTTTTTCCCCCTAGCCTCAGGTGCCAGCAAAGTGGCACCAAATATTAATGTGACATCAAAGATTAATCCCTTTAACTTGGTTCTTCTACAACTTGATCTTCTTTAACTTGATTCTTGGCTCAACGCATAAGCATACATGTTGCCTTTTTACTAATGTTCATCTTCCCAGTAAGTTTTTTGTCTTGTCAGGTTTTGAGATGTGATTAAAACTGGATCATCATATTGCATATTATTAAGAATTCTTCAGTGCAGCCTCTGCAACTAAATGGTTTAACTCCGAAGTTTGATTTATCTCATTTGTCCTTTGAGAATTTCTATATAAAATTGCTACCCTAGCGACCCATCCAAAAGCCATTTGAATGGCTGACCCAGAGAAACTTGCTCTCTTAATTTGATGTAGGTGCATAATCTGGGCTGCACATTCTGAATTTGTGGACAGCAGGTGCCCAGGAGGTTCCAGTAGTTGAGGGATCAATCCAATTAGAGGTCACTGCTAACTAGCAGTATGTCTTGGTTCTCTGCAATAATGCCTCTTCTGTTTGGTTATCGGTAGTCAGTTATGGACATTGGTTATGTGATTCCATGATATGATATGAATGTATTCATTTAACAAATCTTTACTGAGTGCCTTTTACACATCAGATGCTTTCAGTGTTATAGATAGGTAAGGGCGCTGCCCTCATGAGATTACATTCTAGTAAGTAATCTCTAGAAAGACAGATACTAAACAAGAAAATAAATAAATTATGCAGTTGCAAATAGGGATGCATGCTGATTTAGGACGGGTGGGGAGTGGCTGCTCTTGTTTTGTCTCAGAGTCTGGGAAGGTGACTTTTCAGGAGACCTGAGAAGGAGCTGACAAGCAGGAATCTGTGGAGAGAGTGCCCCAGAAGAGAGATAGCAGAAGGCATGACCTTGTTGCAGGCATGAACTTGGCATGTCCTGGGGCACCAAGAGGGGCAAGTGACTGGGGTGTCGTGGGCTGGGGAGAGCATGGCAGCTCAGGTCAGAGAAGCAGGCAGAGGAGGGCGCATGAAGGGATCCCCAGAGAAAGGGATCTGCGTCTGGATTCTTCTTCCTAGAGCAGCTCAAAGTAGACGGTGCGAAATAGGAAATGAATTAAAGAAGTGAAAGGAGTGATTGTGCGTGAAGATTAGAGACCAGTGCTAAAGTTGGGACTGCTCTGTCAGGATAAGTCAGTCAGGAGGCGGGATTGGGTACCACTTCTGGATGGTGGGCAAGCAGGAACAGCCTGAAGAAAGGATCAGAGCACAGCTGTGGAGCCAGGCCGCCTAGGTTCATTCTGGGCTTCATTGTTCACTTCTTGGGAGACTTTGGAAGCCACCCAGTGATTTCTGCACCCCAATTTCTCACCTTACGAGTGAGGATACTGATAACAACAATCCCTTCTTCATGTGGTCATAACGAAGCCTCAACCAGCTAACATAGGACACCTTCCAGAAACGGTAGCTGTCACTACTGTTACCATTATCATTCATTTTGAGACTTTTTTGGGACATTTCCTGATGCTAAAGAAAAAAATTATCCAAACATTTGTTAAAGATGGTAAAGTAGATTTGATTTAAGAGAGACCATGACAGTAGGTTTAGGGACCACTGCAATGAGGCCTTGTGTGGGGAAGACATTGTACTCAACTCCAACTCCAACAAGGATGGGTGGGGATTTATAACCAAGGAGTGGGGTGGGGTCAGTCGGTGGAAAAATCACTAAGAGGAAACGTCAAGGACAAAGGGTTTCCAGCTACCCAGACGTGGGAGGGTTATTGCTGAAGGCAAGTCAGGGTGGTCAGATATCAAGGGTGGAGGATTTTCACTAAACTGACTTAGCAGGATTCTTCCTCAAACTGGATTCTACAGTGACAGAGAGGGAAGCCCTCGGTCAAGCAGAGGCATCTAGGGGCCTGACTAAAGTTTTGGTCTAAGTTGAGGTGGCGGTTGCCATGGCATAGCCAGTGGTTCTTGACTCTGGCAACATGTTGGAATGACGTGTGGGAACTTTTAAAAGAATTCCAGATCTCAGACCTCAATCTCTCACAGTGAAATCAGAACATTCTGGGGGTGCGGGTGGGGGGTATTTTTTTTTTAAAGGAATTTTTGGTTGATTCTAACTTGATTCTCACCAAGATTGAGACCCACCGATAAAAGCATTGGTGTTTCACGAAGGTTCGTGAGGGTGGCAGTAAGGTGGGATCTCAGGAAAAACTTTTCTTCTGGTGGATGGTGTAATTTTGCCACAAGGGCAAGAAGGTCTTAGTGAGAATGATGGCTTGTTTGGGTTTGGTTATCTCAGTCGCTATGTTTTAACTGTTGCCTCTCACTTTCTAGGTATGTAGGAAACCTTCCAAGAATATTTGACTACTCGCCTTTAGATCCAACTCAAGATTTCAACACCCAGATGTAAGTGCCAGGTTGTGTTTTTTTTTTTTTTTTAGGAAAAGTATCCAATAAAGTGTTCATAGTGATTATCTCTAGGTTGCAGAATTAAAAACAATTCTTTATTCTTCTTTATTTTCTGTATTTAAAAAAAAAATGTTCTAAAATGAGCATGTGTTACTTTTAAAAGAAGAAAGCAATTAGTAAAGCTATCCATAAAGTACCGAGAAAAATTTGAAAATGGAATCAGTATCAAGCAGAATCAAATAAATACATTATTTGTGAGTAATCCAGATAAAATACGCCACCTAAAAGCAGCTGTACTTATTGAAATTCATAGATAATGTTAATATCTCTGTGGGAAAACAACAATGACCTTTTTGTTTTTGTTCTCTATCCTGGCCAGGACTAAGTTAGGACATGGCCTTCTCTCGGGTCAGTATTCAAAGCCTCCAGTGAAATCTGAACTCATTGAACAGGTGATGAAAGAGGAACACAAGGTATGTGTCAGTGTTTGCCCTGCTGACCTGTAGGTAGGAGGGAGCTAGAATGTGGATTTCCTATGAGTTGGCAAATGGTGGCTGCAAATTTAGCAAGATATCAGAACAGCAATTTCATTTCAGAGTATAGGTGCCTGTCTGGATCTTTTTAAAAACTATGATAAGAAACAGTAGCCAGGACTGGAATTTCTAGTGACAGTTGCTTCATGGATTATGTGTGTGCCATCATTAAGAGTCTCCAGAAACAATATTCTTTGTAAAATAGAGCTGAGATAGAAGGAATAAATCCTATAAAAATATGAATATTTGTCCCTTGGTAGCACAATCTTGGCCCTTACAGTATCTTTCTTCTCCTAAGCCTCAACTTTGTTTGCTACGGTTTCTCAAGAGGCTGGTAGTTGAAAAACAACACAGATTCCTTAGCTCTCTCCCTTCCAGAGCTGAGGATTCAGAATTTTTGCAGAGGGCTCGGTATCCTCATTGTTGGTGAGCTGCCAGGTGGCTTTTAAGCACACTTAAGTAGGAGAAACTCTGTTGGCCCGTCAATATGAATTCATAGGATGAATGAAAGATGGACTTGATCTTTTAACAACCAGACCTCCATTTCCACTGGCCCCTCCCTAAGCCGCTCAGTTGCCCAACTCCAGAGGTCGCCACTTATACGTTGGTCTTTTTAAGCTCAGAAATGTTTTATTTTTAACTTATCATTTTTTTGATAGCAATGTTATTTTCAGATCAATATTATTATCTGAAACAATTAAATAATTAAAAGATGTAAAAGAGATTCAAATTGGAAAGGAAGAATGAAGTTGGTCTTTTTGTACAATGCCCTTGGAATTCTGCAGTGTGCAGCTTACACGACTGTATTTGGCAGCCTTAGCTCCTGTTGCTGCGAGTGTCCTGAATGGAATGCATGTCTCATTCCCCACCACCTGCTCACCCTTTGGAGTACCCTGTCTTGACTTACTGAGTGAGCTTGTTCCATTTGGGTCTCAAGTGTTTGACTTCCGTGCTCCCATCTTAGGTCAGTCATCCTTAACTGATACTTGTAGACTAAGAGCAGAAATCAAAAGTGAAGACACTTTTGTTCATAATGAAGCCAACTCATTGTGGAAACGGAGCAAACAAGAGGAAGGGGGTTATGAAGGGAATATATAGAAGCAGTGTTTGGGAATGGGGAGAAGAAAGAGGTGTGAAGAGGGTGGAGAGGGAAAGAGACATTCTGAGTGGCAAACCCAGGAGACCAGAGTGATGTGGGAGCAGGAGGAACTCCAGTTCTCAAGTCATGTAGAGATCCAGTGGTGCAAGATGCTGAGGTCCTTAGGTACCAGAGGCTGGAAGGCTCTCATCTGGGGTGTAGCTGAGGAAGAGGTTTGGTGTAGGGCTGGAGTAGGGTGTTAGCCAAGCTTCTACCTCTGAGCTCTTAGGATCTTTGAAGAAGATGTGACAAACAAAACAAACAAAACAAAACAAACAGCCCAAAAAACCTCAGTCCAAAATTTTGTGTTGATCACATTTGTCTTCAGTTTTCATCCAGGCTGTGTCACTTCTTGGGTGGCACTCTGGGGCAGAGTCTATTTTCGGGTAGAGCAGGAGGAGATGGGATTGGGACCCAGGAGGCTGGTTACCTCTCCTGGCTCTGCAAGGAGCTGTGTGACTACGGGTAGGTCGTGTTAGCTTCCAGGCTCAGCATTCAAATGGCAGAATTGGCGCAGGTGGTGGTTGTTAATATTTCAAGGGTGGCGGGGATTTCCTCTTTAATGTAAATAAAATCTGTTGCATGTTATATGATTGTAGTTGTGCTTTTGGGATTGCTTCACTTAAGAAAATGTGAAATGAAAAAATCACCAAGTTAGCAATGTTTGGAAATAAAATTTAGCTTTGTTATTTATTATTTTTGCCCAGGCTGGAGTGTGGTGACACTACAGCCTCAACTTCCTGAGCTAAGGTGATCCTTCCATCTCAGCCTCCCAAGTAGCTGGGACTACAGGTGTGTGCCGTCACACTTGGCTAATTTTATTTTAGTTTTTTTGTAGAGACAAGGTCTCACTATGTTGCCCAGGCTGGTCTCAAGCAATCCTCTTGCTTTGACCTCTCAAAGTGCTGGAATCACAGGTGTGAGCCACCATGCCTGGCTGGTTTTGTTAGTATTACAGTGTCCCTTTATGTTAGAAATACTGTAGTTCTTATATGATCAAGGTACATTATTTATTCAGTCTATGAGTAGTGACTCCTTGGAGTCCTTATCTCTCTTCTCCCCATTGGACTCAGTAGTTGTAGGTCTCCAGGGTTTGAGGCTTGTAGGTGGGAACCACTGCTCTGTCTGGACCTGGCAGCACTTGGGCCATCTTTGGCCTGCAAGTGTGTTTTGCTTGGTCTGCACATAATGTCTGAATTTTTAGCTTCTCCTAACCACTCAAAACCTCTGGCAGTCCCAGGCCCCACGGAGACAGCTGAAGCTGAGTAACAGCCGTCCCTTCATAAAGGACAGAGTCCCAGCTGGCTCCCATTCTTTTGCAATTCATGACCTGCCTGGGGCTCTGCATATTTGGGTTCATGACTCCTGATCTAGATGACTTGTAAAATTCATTCTAGCTCTGAGGGGCCATAATCTGAGGGGTCTGGATGAAAGAATCCTGGATATGATCAGTGTATAGTGTGGGTCTTTGGTTCAAGCGTTGGTAAGGGTCCTTGAACGCTCAAATGGAGCTCAAATTGACTGTGATTTTCTTGGCCCTTGGGGGTGTCTGTTTCTGTCTATTATTTGGATAGACAAATAATTCATAGCAAAAATCTCCACTCACCTTGAGCAGTGGAAAAGAGTTACTTTCTGAAGCATCAGGATTTTCACTGGTCATTTCAAAGGAAACAGTTGGTGAGACTCTCCTTCTCTCAAGTGTCAGGAGCCCTTTGGTCGGATGGTCCTGTCCCAGGCCTCTGGTGACTTGTAGGTGAGCTTGAAATGCCCCAAAAGAGGAGAGAAGATGTATTGCAGCGAAGAGAATAGACTGTGAAAGTGCAGTGAAAGGGGGAGAGCATGAACAATGGGTTAGAGCTACGTGACAGAATTACCTTTTTTAAAGAGATGAGATCTCGCCAAGTTGCTCAGGCTGGTGTCGAACCCTTGGGCTCAGGCAATCCTCTCACCTCAACCTCCCAAAGTGCTGGGATCATAGATGTGAGCCACCGTGCTCGGCCTGAATGCCTTTTTTTATTTTTTATTTTTTTGAGTTGGAGTCTCACTCCATTGTCCAGGCTGGAGTGCAGTGGCACGCTCACGGCCACCCCAGTGTCGATCCACTGGGCTCAGGTGATCCTTCTGCCTCAGCCTTCCAAGTAACCGGAACTATAGGCACGTGCCACCATGTCCAGCTAGTTTTTTGATTTATTGTAGAGATAAGGTCTCACCATGTTGCCCAGGCTGGTCTCAACCCCCCGGGCTCAGGCAGTCCTCTCGCCTTGACCTCCCAAAGTGCTGGGATTACAGGCATGAGCCTCTGACAAGATCTTACTTGGTTGTCCTGGCAAGTCTTGAACTCCTGGACTCAAGTAATCCTCCCGCCTCGGCCCCCTAAAGTGCTGGAATGACAGGCTTGAGCTACCATATCTGACCAGAAGTGCCTTTTTACAAGGCCATCATCACTAGTGATACTACCACCTAGCATCACATAGTGCTCTCAAAGGGCCAGCCTCTTCCCGCATGTTCAGTACTGCAGAAATTGGTGCACAGAAATCTTGCTCAACGTTACAAAGTCAGAGTGGCAGAGCTGGGAGTTACACCAGGCAGTTTGACTCCCCAGACTGTGCTTTTGACCACAGCACTATCCTACTTCTCTCACAGTTGTTCCAGGACTTGTTTCAGGTTCCCAGTGCCCCAGTGTGTGGATGGTGGTGGGTGACTAAGAGAAGGGAGACTTTGAAATTTGCAGAATTGCCAGGGAATGTGGGTCTTTCACCTATGTCTTATACCTTAGATTATTTCTAGAAGATATACTTTGTGGAATTAAATTTGTCTGCTGTAGACCAAGGTGAAGTCTAGTTTTTTATTTTGTTTTTTTGAGTCAGGCTCTCACTTTGTTGTCCAGGCTAGAGTGCAGAGGCATGATCACAGCTTACTGTAGCTTCAGCCTCCTGGACTCAGGCGGTTCTTCTGCCTCACCCTCCCCAGTAGCTGGGACTACAGGTGCGTGCCACCATATCTGGCTAAATTTTTTATATTTTTGTGGAGATGAGGTCTTGCTATGTTGCCTAGGCTGGTGTCGAACTCCTGGGCTCAAGCAACCCTCCTGCCTCGGCCTCCCAAACTGCTGGGATTACAGGTGTGAGCCACTGTGCCCAGCCAAAAACTAGTTCTTAGTGTGTGCATACTTGCTAAACATTGTCATCTGTAAAAAGATGCAGACTTTGTATGAAACACTGCCTTTTCTTCTTAAATTTGTTGATTTTTAAGATAATTGGTTTTGCAATAGGTAATACTTATTATAAGTGCAACTTTTTACTTCAAAAAATGTGTATTCCTAATCTTTCTGCTTTCTTTCAAATGTTTTAAAGCTGAATATTCTGTAATTTATTTCTCTTCCCAGAGATAGCATATTTCAAATAATTCTATATTCTGAACAAACTGTGTTTCTTGGAAGGCTGAGGAAGAAGGATCTCAGCCTAGCAGGTCGATGCTGGGATGGCCATGAGCATGCCACTGCATTCCAGCCTGACTCCAAATCAAAAAAAAAAAAAGAAAGAAAGAAAGAAAAAGAAATATAAGTAACACTTTGGTCCTTGTCAAGGTTTATGGTTTAAGGTTAAAAGTTTGAATCAACAGACTTCAGACCCCTATGTTTTAGGGGCAGGTGGAGATATGTCTCTCCTTCTTTTATTCTTATAGTTTTAATGATCTATGCAAGCATTGCTCTAATATGACAAAAGCCTTAGTCTTGCTGCTTGCTTGTTAATTAAAGCATCAGGCTCAGGGGAATATGAGTGGACAGTGTCTGGCTGTCTGT